TTCATTTTCAGTCCTGTGTTTGTACTGCAGTTAGCACAAAGGGGTCTTGGTTCCTCAGTAGGCCCTGTCATGTCAAAACAATGTCAGTTAAGTCAACAAAGCCATTCACATTACAGTGATTTCCAAGTCATGCTTCCACCTTTTAAAAATTCTGAGTGGGAATGTCAGGGATATTTAAAAGTTAAGCTGAAAGAAACATGGAAACAGCTGGCTTAAAACTTGAGCCTGATTCCTATCACCAACATTCAGTAATATTACTTATAATCTAGTGTATAAAGCAAGTATAGAGGCCTGAAAAATATCATATGGGTCACAGAACAAGAAACTCCTCAACAGAGCTGCCAGAGCTGCATGCATAGGAGGCAAACTATCCACATACACATCTCCTTGGTTTTGCCATCTGCCTCCAGACTATGAGCAGCTCCCATGACAGTGTGATTGTTAGGAAGGGCCAAACCCTCTAACCATTTCTAGGTAGCACTTCTGGCTGGAAAAGAGACATCCTGGGAGTGCTACTGCCTGGGTCATCAAATTCAGTCCTTGCCCAGGGAAGTTGTGGAGTCTCCTTCTCTGGAGATATTCAAGACGTCTACTTATGCAACCTGGTGTAGGGAACCTGCTTTGGCAGGGGGGTTGGACTCGATCATCTCTGGAGGTCCCTTCCAACCCCTATGATTCTGTGATTCCACTGTATGTAGTGGTAATTCACACTGCAAACTGATCGTGCTTGGTTTTAGAAGGAAGAGGATATGTCAAAGCACTATTTGTGACAAATTCTTTCAGGTTGCTAACTAACTCCTTCAGCCACAGTGCTTATTTCTCCTGGCATCCTCATGGAGTGTAATCCTACCCAAGTTCGTCTTTCCTTGCATACAAATATCAAAGACTTGGTGTAAAGGTCTAGGGAATTCTGAGGGCTGATCCATGTTTTTGCATGCTCAGAAGTTGACAGAATTAGCTGTTTACTCCATAGGGCTGGAAACAGACAAAATGAAATACCTTCTTGCACAATTAATAATTCATCAATGAAAGAAAGAGCTTTAGGATATCATTTGGAATGAAAACTGCTTAATGTAAGCCTCCACAATTCAGTCTGCTACTTACAAAGTTAAAGGAAAGGATTCTTGCTAGTTGTCCTCCCTTCAGGAAGAAAAACTCCTCCTCTTGACCTTCTGCATTTAGGAACAGCATGCATTTTGGGTAATTAAAACTGATGAGCCTGACAAACATTCATCTCCAAAGAAATACTCTGCAGTAAACGTAAACTCTCGAGATCCTTCCAGGCATACCAGCACAACTGTCTCTTAAAATTTCTTCCCAAGCCATCTGGTGCCTTATCTTTGTAGCCAAGCCATACAATAACTTTAAAAGAAGATTGTTTCTAGAAGGCTTTCGTCTCAGGACTCATATCCTCTTGGAAGTCTCACAGCTCACTCTGAAACTGTCAGCCCGGCAGCTTGGCTGTGCGGATGCTCCACTTCTTTCTATCATGACCCAAAATGTCCAGCTGCAATTCTCTGGGGGAGATCTCAATCTCATGTGGTTTTCAAAGGGAGTGAAGGGGTTACAGGGAGAAGCTGGAGATGCTCTGCACTTCCAAACAGGGATTTACACTCAATTAATTTTCTCTGTGACAGCCAAAGCTAAGTGGCATGACACGAATGTGGTTACGAAGGCTGCAGCTAATTCACTTCATTCGTGTAGCTCTCTTGCACCTGTAGAAGAATGGATGGATTCCTGGCACAGCCTTTGCCATGAGGAAAGGTAGTGAGTGAGAAGGCAGAGAGGTGTGGAGCAGAGGTGGCTGGTAGAAATGGGAGAGGATCGGCTTTGCAGATCGTCCAGAGCTTGCTCTCCTTTTATTGCATCTGAGCCTGTTCCATCTCTTACACTCCATCAGTAAATTCCTACTGGGAAAGTGCCGTTTTCCTCTCACAAGCAGAGCTTGAGAGTAAAGCTAGGTAACAAAGCCAGGGCAGTAGGCACCTGGCAGCAGAGCAGTGGCCTGGGCACAAACCTGGAGTGACAGATCCTGAGCTGGCTGTGCCTGGCTGCTTAGAGACATCATGAGAAATGGGCACATGGCTGCAGGCATTATACGTCTGAAAACAGAACATGCTTGACCCTCACTCATCCATGGCAAATACAATATAGCTGGAGAGAGACCAAATCACCTCTTAGGCTTTTGTCACATGTTTATATATCTACTGTCCACTGCCTAGACATCTGTTGTCCGTTCCTCATCAGTGCTGTTCTCAGAGGTATAGGAGTGTAAGAGACTCCACCTTGATAACGAAATACTGCACTGTATGCAGTATTTTATGACATGCTTGTCAGGTGGGTATTAACGAGCATGCTGTGGGGCTGTAAAATGCCTGCTGGAAATGGCACAGCTTCTGCGTATCTCTGAGTGAATTGGTTTTAACAGGAGCCTGGATTAGGAGTATAACATCTACGTTTTCCAGCTATTGATGATATTGTGATGGTTTGATAACAAGAGCAGAGTTCCTAGCACCATTCAAACACAACACTGCCAACGTTTCCTCTGGGTAGATGCCTTTGCTTTTAGCTGGCTACCTTGTGACGCCCTTAGGGAAGAAGAGCTCAGTATCTGTAAAGCTGCTGAGCTTTTTCCTACTCTAGCAGAGGGTTGTATCCTATTATCTCTGGAGACAATCTTCTATTTAGGGAAAGAATGAAAACAACCCTCCTAAAATACAGTTTTGTGCTTTAATGATCCCTGCACTGAAACATGGCATCGTATATTTATGCTATGTGTGAGCTTAGGTGAGAGGGTAGAAATGATCACAGGTCACGGCTCCATGCCCGTTGCCAAACTGACTCTCTGAGCCCCCTCTTCATACACTGATGGTAATATCTTAGAGCAGAGCCATTTCAATAATTTATTTATATGAATAAAAGTACATGGCTCAAAGGGTAAAGCTTTTTGTACCTGCAGAATTCCCACCATTCCCAGGTCACCTTTTGGTGTGGGATGACACATCTGCTCTGCTTAGTCCTCCTGCTAACGTTTTGGCAAAGACACCTGGAACTTAGCAAGGCTACACATGTACGTAATATCAAAAGTCAAGAGGAGTGCATTCAGGCTGTTCGATTTATGGGGTGTCAAAAACAAAGGACAAACCAATACAATGTTTCACTTGATGGCTTAATTTGCACAAATCCCCGGAGATCCAGAATTGTTTCCCAGCTACTTCAGGACCTGCCCCAGATTGCTGCCTGCAGTAAAAAGGGTTGGGGATGGGGGTCTGTAAGTGCTTGTCAGGCCGGAGGAGCTGCAAGGCTGTAGTGGGACCCAGGGGCTGGGCTGCTCAGGGCATGCTGTCCCACCCTGCAGATAAGAGGTGCACGCCGTACGTGAACGGTCAGCAGCAATGCTGGGAGCCGGGGAGGGGCAAACTGGAACCAGCACTTCTAAACAGAAAGCCTCAAGCAATCATTACGTCCATCTGTGCTGACCTGAAACCAAAAAATCCCACACATTCACAGCATCTACGTGGGCTTTGCTGATCCTCCCATCCAGTCCCTTGTTCCTATTCATGAATCTGTTTTCCAGGGTCAAAATTGTTTCTAAGGTGAACAGAGAGTCAGTGCTTGTGAGGAGTGGTCTAAGGGATGTGTTTTCTTTTCCTCCATCTTCTGTTCCCAAGTGCTAATTCCCCAGTGTGTGCTGAGACGAATCCTTCTCTGCACATCACTGCCCTTTGCAGGAACTTAAGTGGCTGCTGTAGATGAATTATTCTGTATATTTAAATCCTTATAATCTGGATCAAAAGAGTAGGCTTGGCACTGAAAATCAGTTTGAAAATTAACTGTACACCATGAGCCTGCAAGTCTCAGCCTCTCCAAAGAAACAGGAAAAGATTAAAGGAGCTTTTACTAAAAAAATAAAAATAAAGAACATCCTTAACAGAAATAGCCTTTAAAGAAAATCCTTTATGTGAGGAGAACATCTTCCAAAACTGAGAGAAATAGAGCACAGGGTGGTATTTTTGTTGCCAGAATAGGCAGAGAAGCAAACCAGGCTGAGATTGGCTTTTTGAGGGGAATTAAATCTTTCACTTTCTGAGCACACAGATTAGACACCAGGAGAAAATATGTTTGCTGTCTTTGGTTATCTGGTGGCACTGAAGAACAGCCATCAAAGGGAAACATCTGCCTCCTGGGATAATCATCAGGCAAGAGAATGGATGCAGCAGATAAAGGTAGGTGACACCTGCCTGGAGAGGCAGAGCAGCAAAAGAACAAAGATTAGTGACTGGGGATTGCACTCACCTGTGAGGAAAAGGTAAGTAGGGTGAAAAGGAGTGTGAAAGCTGCAGGAAATGTGGTCTGCTCCTGTATTCTTGCTGCCATTTGTACTGCCTGAATTCCCTACTAAAGTTTTGCTGTTGTGACTGAGTTCTCCTTTTGTAGTTTACAGAAGAGGCATTTGCAACTCAACTTTTGCAGTATTTATGTAGGTAAAATTCTCAAGTTTTTCAAGGGGATTTTTCCATAGTAGTTATGGGCTCTTAGAGGCTGCTTCTGTCCAGGTGAGGATTGAAGCCTGCACAATTACCATACTGTAAATATCAATAGATCCTTCCTAATAGGAAGGTTATTTGAATTTCAGTTTGTAGCTTAGTTTCTCTAATCTCCATGTAACCTATTTACTTATGCTACATCTTTCATTCTGCACTTCCTAATCTCCAGGTGCAGAAATTCAAAGTGCTGCACACTGTGCCACTTTTCAGTCAATAGAAACAACATTGTTATAGGCAATGCTGAGCTCCTAGGACCATCAGAAAGCCTGGATTTGGTCCCAGGAACACTTCAGGATCCTCTCAACTCTGACCCATCAGATGAGCCTGTTTAGTTACTCCACGGGTCAGCTCCTCACTTCTGAAGAAGGAAGGTTTTGATCTTTCCTTCTCTCCTGGTTTATGTGTGTCAAGGTTTCACATCAGAGACAGAACCCGTGATGATGCTTCTTCATACAACACTTCAGCCCATCCCATCCAACCCACCCATGTCATAGGTATGAGCTGCCACATATCACCCATGCCAGCTCCTGAACTCCTTAACCCCAACCCTAGAGCCAAATTAACTGGTTGACTGGTAGAAATCTGAGCAAGAAAGTAAAGCTTTGACAGACTTTTTAGGGACATAGTTCAGTGGGCATGGTGGTAATGGGTTGATGGTTGGACTAGGTTATCTTAGTGGCCTTTTCCAGCCTTAATGATTCTATGGTTTTCTTATCTCAGCTCTTGCCAACACCAGCCCTGGTGTGAGGGGGGTGCTGAGGCTCAGCCCAGTGGGACACAGGGTGCTTGTGAAATCCCATCCGGCATGGCAGCTGCCCCGGGGGCACACAGATAAAGCAGGAGAGCTGTTTCCCAATACCTGTGTGAAGGAGATGAGCAGGGCTGCGTCCATCACCCATAACACAGAATCAGCTCCACGTAACCCTTCTCCCTCTGCTCTGACTCAGTTCTTCTTTCTGTTTCCTCAGGCAACTCCGCTCTCTCCCCCCAGCATTGCTCAAGGCCTGCTACTCCCATGCATGCCCCACCTAAGTGCAGGATGTGGCTTATGCTCCTGGATCTCATCCATGCTCAGCCACAGCATATCCCCCTTTTCCAAAGACCGAAAGCATTGGGGCATATGTGAGAAGGATCTAGAAAACCGACAGGGGTTCAGTAATCCCAGCAGCCCAACAGACTGGCATGACAGCACGACAGCTGATATTGCATTGATGGTAAGGCAGAGAAGGCTGAGAAAACAAAGCAGTCTCACCATGATGCAGTGATGTTTCAAGATACCCATTTATTTTCCTTCATCCAGAAGCCCCAGGACCACGATGTCTTTTCAGACTCTATCAGGACACAACAGAGCATGGGAAGGGTTGGGATGTCATACTCCTTCACAACCAGCCAGAGAAGGCTGTACAGCAGCCCCAGCCGGCTTTGCAGATTGCAGTTAGTTCAGAATAGTTTGGTGTCTTTCCTATTCTAAGGACTTCTTTCTCAATGTGTGTGTGCACGAGCAAGAAATTAGCCACTAGCACAGGAAGATCATAGAACAGCCTGGATTGGAAGGGGCCCTAAAGATCATTTAGTTCTTTGCAGCACTAGCATCACATGTGGTGCAGGCTCATTCACAACAGGTGAGTGCATGGAGACACAGCCTTGTTTAGCTATTGTGAAGAGCTGTTCCTTTGCAAATAACTGCTTGCACCAGTTCTAAAGCTGGATGCAAAAGACCCAGTGCTGTTGTTAGAGCTGGCTGTATGCTGGCAACCCAAGGCTGGAAGCACACTGGCTTTGCTGAGCCTGAGAAGGCAGCATGAGTGAATTACCTTAAATTAAACACAGTTCATACACAGAGGCATAACAGAGGCACAGTGGGAGCTTTGTGCCATTACGGGTTTGCATTAGAGATGTGGTGATGTAGAACTCTACCAGTGTGAGGATTCCTGCACAGCACTCAGCTGAGATGTGACCTTCTCCCGGTGCAGGTGATGATCTGCTTACATGTTCTTCTGTACTGATCATGTAAAATCTGCAAACCGGTTTGTAGGGCTTCAGCAGATAGTTTAGAATACTTAGGAGGTACTGTTTTGTCTAGAAGTGAATTCTGAACTGATTACTTTAAGGCTTTCCCTTTCTGCAGAAAGTAGTGGTGCTTCAGTTCTTTGTTCCAAGGGAAGTGCAAGTGATGGGAACTTGCACTTCCACATCTATTTTCTTTTTCCTCAAAATTTCATAGCATCTTTCCTCATGCTGGGGGAAAGAACAACCAGTGCACAAGTGTGATGGACAGCAGGAGACAACATTGAGTTGCACCTGGCTTTAAAGGATGGCTAAAATTTTTATCTAAAGCTTCAAAATTGTAAAACAAGACTAAGAAGAAAAGAAAAAGAGACACCTTTTAGATAAGGAAATAATCTTTCTTTTCCCTCAGGATGCTGAAGATAGCACAACACAAAAGTAACTCTAAATAAAGTTGCTTCAAGTGCTTCATATCTGAGAAATGCAGAAGGAAAGCGATGCTATAAAAATGTTGCACGTGGGATTCTTTGAATACGCGTTCACTTCTTCAAGATTCCATAACCGGCATTTTTCTTTCTTTTATGCAAGAAAACTCCACTCTGCTGCCAGGGAGTGAGGAAGTGGCTCTTCTCCCCAGAACCTCGCTCTGCCCAGGTGTTTCGGACCCGCCCGCCCCATCCAGGCGCGGTACTGCCGCAGCGAGGACTTTGCCTAGCGAAAACTTGCGAATCCGGCGTTCCTCCGAATGAAAGAAAGTGACATGTTGGATGAGGGGGGTGGGCGGGAGGAGAGGAAGGCTGTCCCGCTTCTGCGGGGCGGGATCTTTTTCTCCTGCTTGATCTATGGAGCCCGCCCCCTTAAATTGGCTCCCGGGAGCACCCCGTCCACCAGCCCGACGGGGGGAGAGGCGGAAAGCGAGGGAGTGCAGGCAGGCGGCCGGC